AAACCACTCATAATCATTATCATAGTTGTGTAATTATGTTTAAAATATAATTGTCAACAATAGATTTGTTCTCTACGAGGAGATATAGCTATTTTTCTAATGCTATAGGAGCTACCACATTCAATCCTACCCTACTCTCAGCTTTGCCCAGTAACATATTGATGTTTATACACCATTCCATCATGCAGAATCTTTGGATTCAGAATATCATATATTTTGCTGAGCGAATTTGTTTACGTGAAGAGATAGGGCTATTTGATTGAAGCTATCTCAACTAGCGCAATGGTGCTCATTGACATGCATTTGATCACTATAGATCAATAGATATTATACATTATTATAAAAACATAGGTTTGATATATTCAAGGAAGGAGTTATTGGTGAAGAATGTGAAAAAAATTTCAGATAGCAGCTGCGGCGTTCACATTCAATGAACAAAATATAAAATTAACGGAATGTCGTCATTCACACCGTTTATCACAAGAGAGTGGAGTGGATCTCTTTCTCAAGATGGAAGTTAATCAGGTTCATACCGATTCATACTAATTTTGCAATTCATACAATATGATCAGCCGTTGTTGTATTGAATTCATTCATTCAAATTATTTCATCGAATCGCCCACTGCAAATTGTGGCATTTGTTAAATTGAAGTTGTTCCACACAAGTGACTTATGAACTTAGTATTTCTTTCAGGTAACAGGTTCCTTCAAAGAACGTGGTGCCAGATGGGCATTATTACAGCTGGACGAGAAGGACCGCAAAACAGGTGTGTATGCAGCATCTGCAGGCAATCACGCGTTGGCGTTGAGCTATCATGGACAACAACTCGGCATTCCTGTGAATGTGGTTATGCCGAGACATGCACCCATCATGAAGATTGAGTCATGTGGACGATTCGGGGCAAATATTCGCGTTGAGGTATACGTCACCGAATGATTCTTAAATGATCATTTTATGAGATCATTTCGAAACTCTCACGATCTAACATCAAAACGCAATTTCATTACCTCGTGAATAGGCTTAATTCTCTATCAAATCTGGAATCTGATACGAGTGAGACAAGGAGTTGGAAAGCGTAAAACTTAAGTGCAGTTAGAATTGGGTCTGGACGTAAGTTGAAAAATAAATTTAGTATCAGCATTTAGAGATAGTTTTCGATTAAGGGTAAACACATGGTTGAGTCACGCACTATTGGATTGCGATTGGCAAGCGAAAATCATGGAAAATACATCAATGGCTACGATCATGTTGATGTGATTGCCGGTGCTGGAACTGTAGGACTTGAAGTTATCGAGCAGGTAGTTTGCATACGACTGAAAATTCTTCAGTTATTTCTGAACTGCAAAATTGTTGCGCGATAAAAATTATCGAACAATATTCATCAACTTGACAAATCTGAACGCAATTAGCTTCACGTCAATTGTGAGGACAAATTTTCGCGCACAAATCAATTTCAATCATTGATTGCATTTATTTCAATCATTATTGATATTGTTAATGGAGGCATAACGTGATTTTCAGATGCATGCCGATGTAGATGCCGTTTTAGTACCGGTTGGGGGTGGTGGTCTTATTGCTGGAGTATCACTGGCAATCAAATCCGTATTTCCACGAGTGAAAGTTATCGGCGTTGAAGCCGCTTCATGTAGCGGTTTCAAGGTGGTTGCTTTCAACGATATGTTGTTAAATCATTGGCATTTGTGCAGATAGATAGAACAATCCCAGGCATGATGAATTTGGTGATTGCTGGCGACTACTGTAGCTTTCGCTTACGAAATTCAGCAGTCTTTCTCGATTCAATAGAAAACTGCTAGCATCTAAGAGGGAAAGCCTTAGTTGTAAGAAAACTGTTATTGACTATTCACCCAAAAAGTGAATAGTTTGAGTCATATGCTACAGGAAAACATAAAATGCAATAACTTTCCTTGTGAAATATGGACGATGAAAGGATTGCTCATAGTATGGCAGTATTGCTATTCCACAAATCAGTGCTTCGGTAAAACAGGGGAGGAGAACTTACTCGCTGGAAGGAAACTGGTAGAATTTAGCTAGAATTGTGAACGTTGACAAGTCGTTGTTGATTCATCTTTTGAAATCATAATCCTTCCATTATCGCCAAGTAATGCTTTCATTACGCTTGTTCGATCGCAAAGAAATGATTCCATTGGTACCGATGCAAATTTTTAGCAGCAATTTTTTTGAATCATGGATCAATTTTTTGTCAGTAGGCCAAATGCGGACATGAACGCAAAAGCATGAGAGTCACTGCTATATCGACCAATGGCTCGCTGGCGCGTACAGTTATGTGATATTTTCATGAGCAATGTTTTAGACAATCCGCGAATATGCTCACGGACATAAGATGCTCACGATGAATGTCTATTCGGGCGGATATAATGCATCAACGTTTCAAAAATCTTTCATTCAGTGATTTTGCAGCATTCTTTGGAAGCTGGAAAGCCAGTACTGTCAACGTCGTTGGGAACGCTGGCTGACGGTTTAGCCGTTCCGTTGATTGGATGCAATTCATTTGCTACAGCCAAAGGTTCGCATAGTTTTGGGACGGCTTTTTAAAGTTTTTTCTCGAGGAGTAAACAGCAATAGATTTTTGATTCTGTTATATACTTCAAAGTTATGGGTTGGAATAAATTACTCAAGATTTTCAACAGATCACATTGATCGTATGGTAACGGTGAGTGAAGAGGACATATCACTAGCGATTCTACGTCTTGTGGAATACGAAAAAGTTAGTGCGTTTCTAGAAAATATGGGCAATTCGGTTTATTGCCCAATACAATTCTGTCAAACGAAGATGATTTGAAATAACAGTTATCAGATGTGTAATTCTACGATATTGGCTACAAACTGATTGCAGTTGATGTGAATAGATCATTAGTATTAAATCTCATGGATTTGGATTTTGCTGAAGAATTGGTGCTTTAAATGTTGTGTTCAGTAACGGCGAAGGGTCCATTAAAAATTTCAAAATTCAGTTTGGAATAGTTTAGATATTTAGATATTAGATATTGTTTTAGTTTTAGATATTGTTGAGAAAGTATCCAGATATTGAGCATAAGTGTAAGTGTAAGGCTGAGGCCAAGCATTAGCCTGAGCCTACGTATCAGCCGACGATCAGCTTAATCTAGCCATAATTTTTGAGTTATTTGCACGTTAGATCATTATAAAGTAGGCCAACTGAACATGGAAGTTGATTGTTCTGCAAATGAACAATCTCGTTTGATAGGTAGTTGTCGAAGGAGCTGGTGCAGTTGGTATAGCAGCGTTGCTATCGGGTCAGTTAAATGACCTAAAGGGCAAGAAGGTGGTATCCCTAATAACAGGTGGAAACATCGATTCGAGTAGTCTCGGAAAATGCATCGAAAGAGGTCTGTTACTCTATTGCTTAATTTCTTCTAAAACAGTGGTTCTCACAAGGAGTGAAATTACCCATTCTGGTTAAATCGGAGGTGTCAAGGGATAATGGGAGGGGAGGGAGGTGTCAAGGGATAAGGGAAATTGATATTTCGTGCAGTTGGTATAGAACACCACTTTGATGGTGTTATTTAACTCAGGTATGTAAAAGAGATTAGCTGATGGCAACATTTAATTCTTCTATTTTTTGAGTATCATTACCCCGTCCAAACTTAACAGGGTTTTTCATTCATTTTGACAGGGTTTTCATTTTTTTCCTTGCAGTTACAATCGCTCTCATAACTTTTATCACCAAAAGTGTTCTCTTGTGC